GAGACACCGAGGCAGACAGAGACAGAGAACCCAGATAGAGAGAAATAAACAAAGAGACAGAGAGGGAGTGAGAAGCAGAGGGTGAGAAACAGAGACACATATAGACTGATAGAGAAACAGACAGATACCAAGATAGACAGACACAGAGAGACGGAGAAATATATACAGAGAAAGAGACAGACAATAGAGAATGATAACTGGAACAACAGTGGTGTGCCAAGAAAATAGGGACTCAAGGTTTTTCTCTAGGCTGGTGTTTTTCCCCCAGCTTTCTTTCCCAGCAAGTAGAAATGTGTATTGAAATATTTCAATTTCCAGAAGGAAATATTTATAGAATTTTCTTGAACAGATAGTCTAGGCTCCCAGAAAGCAGTCTTTTTTTCTCTTTTTACTGCTCTGATTTTGGAAGGAAAATTTCAGTTAAAATCTTTAATGTACCAGGTAACCTGAAAAACCCAGAGTTAACATCTCTCATCATCGAATATGTAATAATTTATACAGGCTTAAACAGAAAATCAAATAGCCTTAGGAATTTTGCAAAATTCATTCCCATGTCTCTCTCATTGGTTGGTAAAAGTCCTGAAACATTCTGGTAAATGAGATTATTCATGAATTTTGGCTGCAACAGGTTGTTGGTGCTGGAACACCATCACTGCTTGAAACTTCCATGGAGACTTAAAAGTTTTACGGGAATCATCTGACATCCAGGCTTATGTTCTTTAAAATGAATGCATTAGATAATTCAGTATGAGGTCTCTCCCAAAGCATTTATCTCCCCAAATTCTGAATCTTTTCACGAAGCCTGGGCTTTGATTTGAGGTTTAACTTAGTTCTCCTTTCTTCTACAAGTCCATTTTTGAAATGCTAATAGGTGTGATTGTCGAGTCTTTCAAAAAGGATTTTGACCATAAGAGGAAAAAGAGTTACAGATCTTTTATATCAAGCTACTGCATTGGTGTACTGCACTTGTCTGATAAATGTACCAGGTGAGAATCCATAGAATTTTAAAGCTGAGAAGGATTTTAGAGATCATTTGGAATCATTCTCACTTAACCCTCAAGATTCTGGTAGAGGAAATAGAGACCTAGAGAGAGGGAGTGATTGCCCAAAGTCACAGTTGTAACATGTAGAAAAGTCAGAATGTGAACCCAAGTCTTCTGAGTGCTCCAGATTCTGTGTACTTTCAAGGACACTACCTTGTATCTTTATCCTCTAACCTCTTTCCAAAATGGTGACACTAATTTCATTTAACTTCTTCTTCTAGATATTCAGGCCTCGTTAGCTATTCTTAAACTTTGAAAAAAATAATTCTACTCATTATTAAGGAAAAGATTTTTTTTCAATTCAAATGTTTTACCCAAGACTTTGTAGGCAACAAATATAATTACAAGGAAGTAGATGTCTTTTTTTTTAATGGGGCATGTTAAAATGTATATCCAACATACTAAGGAGTTACATTTTTCCAGCAAATTATTCTACAAAATGTGTTCTAAATAAATGAGAAATAACAGAAGACATTAAAAAAGCTTTTCTTTTATAATTTACAGGCTGTGACTACTGTGGACTCTTAATATTGCCAACCAAGTATGAAAGCAGGCCTAAACACTGTATCATCAAAAGCAAAATGCAATTATGAAAAGACCTTTTTATATACTGCTAAGACACTAGACCATGAGTCAGGGTTCATTCTTTTTGCCACAGCTTCAGACCTTGATAGTAATCCCTGAAGAGAAGGGACAGTATTTTTATATTCAAAGAACAGCATTATATATTTGTGTTGGCATAGTGAGTCCAAATTTGAACAGTCAAGAAAAATTTATGTTAGTACATATTTTTTTCATTTTAAGAAAAGGAATAGTATTCATACAAGAGTCCTTTTGCAAAACATGAAATATATATAACATACCGACAATGTGATAAATAGGAGATCCTCTAAGCCAACCCATCCATCTTACAGATGAGAAAACCAAGAGCCACGATGGTTGACTAATCCAAGGTCATGTAGGTCTCTTGTTATAGTAATAGCATTTATTTAGGTCAACAAGTGTCAGGTAGGATCAGAGAACTATGATTAAAAAAAAATCTGTTTTGAAAGTTTTCTATTTTCTAACAAGTGCTCTTAACAGAATTTAACTTTTTAAACCTTATTACTCAAGATTGTCTAATAGTAACTTATTGTATGCTGGTAAAGAAGAAGAAATATAATTGTACTATTTATATCCTGCAAAATTCTAGTTTAATAGGATCATCTTTGATGTTAGATTATTTTTAAGTACTAAATACTGGGCTCGTTTCTGCAGTCATTGCTGGAATCATTGGGATAAATGTGAATGTATAGACTCGGTTATTTTGTTGTTGTTAGCCATTTTCAGTTGTGTCTGACTCTTATGACCCCATTTTGGGATTTTCTTGGCAAAAATAGTGTAGCGTTTTGCCATTTCCTTCTCCAACTCACTTTACAGATGAGGAAACTGAGGCAAACAGGGTTAAGTGACTTGCCCAGGCTCACACAGCTAGTAAGTGTCTGGGGCTAGATTTGAACTCAGGAAGATGAATCATCCTGACTCCAGATCCAGCACCCTACCCATTACACCACCTAGCTGCAGTTATCTCTACTTTCTCATACATCATCAATCACTTCTTCTCCATTAACTCTTTCCCATCTCCCTATAAATATGATCTTGTTTCCTTAATGCCATTAAGCTGCCTTAGACTCAATTATAGGGTCCTAAAATTTCATTGAGAGGGAATTCCTTTCATTGATTCATTGATTTAACAAAATTACTGTGCAAGGCATTTTGCTAGGTGCTGTTTGTAATAAAAAGATGTGGAAGGCATGCTAATCATTGTTTTTGATCCTCATCATAAGCATTCATGGAATCATAGTATATAGATTGGAAGAGACCCGAGAGGACAAGTTCAGCCCATACCTGAATAATAATCTCTTTCGATGTCTAGTGTTGGGCAGCTCCCAAAGCAGTCCATTCCACTGTAATTGTTTTGATATTTTTTTCTCCCATCAAGCTGAAATCTGCCTCTCAGTAGCTTCCAGCTATTATTACCAGTTCTACCCTCTTACTCCAAGTAAAACAATTCTATTGTACTTCCCTAGAGCATCCTTACAAATTCTTGAAGACAGCTATATTGCCTCCCCACCATTGTCCTTAGCCTTCTCTTTTCCAGACCAAGTTCCTTCAAATGATCCTCAAATAGCATGGTTTTCTATCTCCTTATCACTCTGCTTAAATAATTTCAGTAATTTCAAAAGACATTCTATTTGCTTCCTGGTATCTCAATTAGGGAACTATTTTATAAACGAGTCAAGATGCATGCAACACTCTCTCCCTACTGATCACTGGACAACACTGTTAGTGGTCCATTTTAATAGACTGCTCCACTTCCCCACAAATTATTTAATAGATATTATCAAGTGATTAAAAGTAATTAATTAAAGCAATTAAAATTGAAGATTACTGTCAAGTAATTAAGATGTAGCTTTGTCATTTAAGCACTCAAAGCAGGGATTCTTAATCTGGGGTATGTCAACTTTTAAAAATATCTTCACAATGGTATTTCAGTATTGTTTGTTTCCATTATGAATCTATGTATTTTATTTTATTTATTTTAAACATTACCCTGGGAAGTAATCCATAGATTAACAAAGTGACCCATGACATAAAGAAGGTTAAGAATGCCTATTCTTTTTTTTTTTTTTTTTTTTGGCTAGGCTAGGTTAAGTGACTTGCCCAGAGTCACACACAGCTAGTAAGTGTTATGTGTCTGAGGTCGGATTTGAACTCAGGTCCTCCTGACTCCAGTGCCAGTGCTGTATCGACCACACCACCTAGCTGCCCCGAGAACTCCTATTCTTAAGGATCATAAACCAATTGAATGCAATACAGCAAATATTTATGAAAAACCTGATGTGTGTAAGGCTCTGTGCTTAGGCTCTAAGGATACAAATATCATGGTCTCGTTAATGTAGGTATACCCTCCATGAGTCCAGATTGCAGCCTATCCACACCCTATGCAATTCTTCCTGTCTTCCTGGCTTTCTTTTTGTATTTGTTTCCTTCGTTAGTATATCAACATGTTGGTATTTGCATACAGTCTAGAAACTGCACAATTCTTGGCACCATCTCAATACTAGTAAAATAATTCAGTTTTACTTTTTGCACAGATTCTGAAAACCCTGCCATCACCATCACGGCTTTACTGGGCTCCCTGAACAGCTGCTGCAACCCCTGGATTTACATGTTTTTCAGTGGCCATCTTCTACAAGACTGTGTACAGAGTTTCCCCTGCTGTCGAAAAATGAAGCAACCATTGAGCAAAGAAGATTCTGATAGCATGAGCAGAAAGCATACTTCCTTCACTAACACCCGAAGCCCCACAAATAGCACTGACACCTGGAAAGACTCCCCTAAGTCATCCAAGTCCATCAGGTTTATTCCCATTTCAACCTGACTCCACTATGCAGTGAGAGTTTTTTGAGTGATAGTGGAAAACTTCAGGTGGGTGAAGCCAGGCGTCATTGGAGCATAAGAAATGTCTGAAATACAAGTTAAGTGTACAGTACTGTATTTCTAGAGAGCTTCTCTCACTGATGTGAACAAAAGCTGTAAATAATTTTGTAGGAACTGTTATCAAAAACTCACTTTGCTGAAATATGGGAAAGTGATTCCCTCCTGGCAGAATTGAAGTCATTTTTCTAAAGGAAAAAAAATCATAGTAAAATACCTCCCTCCACCCATTCCTCCCTTCCCCCTTCCCACCCCTCTTGGCTTTATTCTTTTCTATTTGTTCCCAAAGTAACTAGTGCATGGTCAGTTTAATATAATATTCATTTAATTTAGAGGCACCACTTTTCCCTGAAAGGAATTAGAAAAGGCTTCAAAGGAATCAGTGCTTCAGGCAACTGAGAATGTCGTCTCTGCTGGCATGGGAGTAAGTTGAAGACAGATATCCTAGGTCCTTCCTATCAGCCTTATGCAAAAATGGAGAAGGTTTATTTTTACTGCCTTTGTGCATAGGACCACCACTATGCAACTTGGGACCAAGAACTATAGAACTATGAACAGCTAAAGCCCTATACCAGGGAATAAAGCTTACTACATTAACATATTTCAGACACTTTCCCCAGTAGAAATGGAAAATGATGGCCGTCTTGTGGTGTTTTCATATATAAAGAAATTCCTAAAAAACATTTTTTTAAAAGTTACAAGAGTAGGGATTTAGAGCGGGAAAGGATTTCAGAAGTCATTGAGTCCAACACCCTGCTTCTTTTTTTTTTTAAACAGATAAGCAAAATATGACCAAGAAAAGTTAAGAGACTTGCCCAAAATCACTCAGATACAAAGTGGCAAAACCAAGATGATTTGAACCTCAGACCACACACTAAGCACACTTTTTTGTGCACCAAACAGAAACAAAGAGATTTCTGTAATGTATGGGAACCTGGTACTTTTGGTCTTTGCTTTTTTCAAATAGTAAGGTTCAAAGTTTTTGAAAGAATAACACAGAATATGGATTTATTCCCCTGATACTGAAATTGCCTTGGCCTTTGCTTTTGGCCCCAGACCCCTCTTGTCATTTGGCATTTTCATAGTACTGGTGCACTCAGAGCCATACTGTTTATTTTTGTCCACTAATATGGATGGTTTAGTGTCTGGGCTACCAAAATTCTAAAATGCAAATATAGCTCTGCTGATTCATCGGGAAAATGTTTCCAATGGGCAGGAAAATGATTCATTTTGAAGCAAAGTCTTCTGGCTTAAGGTAAGAAATGCTTACCTTTGGAGACAGGTGATTTAAAGGCCTAAACCATCCATTTAGTTGATTTCTGAACAAAGGCAAATTCTAATTTGGCTTTTTCTGTTTACATAGCATCTATAATTAGGGGAGCTCAGTGTGCTTTTTAGCCCATTATGTTTGCCTCCTACCTTCCTCATGGAAATGATGCCAGGGTTTTATGATATTTACGGTGTTATGAAACACTGTAAATACTTCGGGTTCCTTAGAGGAGATAATATTTGCTGTTGACATTATTGTTGTATGTGAACTTGTGTGTTTTGTATGAGGAAATCTATTTTTCCCTCTTTAAATATAAGGCACTAGGGCATAGGGGGCAGGAAGCATGCCTCTGGGGGAAAATTGTCATCTTGCCTCCTCTTCATTCCCCTGAAATTCCAAATCCTTTATTGTTTTACTCCCAGAGATGCTGTGTATTATGAAAAAAAAAAAAAAAACAGAGGAAGGGATGTTGCGGGGAGGGGCAGTGAGTGCAATTTATGCATGCCAACCCTTAAGTTATCACAGTTTGGCTTTCTCAAAGTTATGACTGTTTCTTTAAATAGTTGCTTTCAAGCAGGTGGGTGTATACTTTGAAACTACCCCACAGGTGAGAACACTATGTAACAAGACCCTATTCAAACTTCAGTAAATATAAAGCCACCATTTAAAAATTTTATTGGAATTTAATGCATTTTGGAGAGAGAGAGAGAAAGAACAAACATTTACACAAGCAAAATAAAATAGAGGATTAATATATAGCACTTTTCTTGGGAGGGAGCAGTATAAGCTTTGCTTGAACTAAATTCCACTCTATAATAACAAAGTGATCTGGGATCTTTCAATGTAGGCTCTATTTTAACACATTTATACATGTAGATGTAATACACTCCCTTCCCCTAAACAAGAAAATCTAATTTGGATTCTGCCTTCCAGGAATATGAAAGAAATAAAAGACATAGGTCAATTTATGCAGTATAGTTCTACTTTTCTCATGAAGCAATACCATATAATGGAAAAGTGCTAGACTAAAAGTCTAGAGATCCCAGTTTTAATTCTGGACAAGTCAATCAAGCTCTGTGGTCCTAAGGTTCTTCAGTCATCTCAAAAGTACTGCCTGGCTGCTCCATAATTATGTGCCATGATAATAACAGCTCACAGCTATGTAGTGCTGAGAGGTTTAAAAGCATTTTCTTCACAGCTCTCCTTCTGAGGTCAGTAATATAGGTATGTTCATCCTCAGTGTGTGTGTGTGTGTGTGTGGGGGTGGGTGAGGGTGTGTACCAATTCAAACAAGACAGGCAGAGAACAGCAAGCAGAATATTATCACCTAGAGGACTACAAGGTGTCCCAAAAGTCTTAGTGCAGGTTTAAGCTATTAAGGCTTGAAGCCATTAAACTATTAAAGTTTATAATAGGATTAAAACTGCACTAAAATTTTAGGGACACCCTACATTAGCTATTTTCCAAAAAAAAAAAAAAAAAAGATTCAACAACATACCCTTTTTGGCCTGAGCAATTTGCTTGTGATTGGAGTACAGACTGAAGACTTGGAGGCAAAGAACAAATTCATTGTTTTGGTTTGAGGGGGAAGAACAAACATATTTGTGATATCCATTTGGACATGGAGGATGTGCTATTTTATTCACAGGAGGAACCTATGTTTGGGGACATTTATCTAAGGAAACTTTGAAATAGCTAAATTAATAAATAGTGAGGAGGTATGGCATGATGGATAGCCTCAGAATCAGAAAGTCCTGGGTTCAAGGGCCTCTGATACATACTGGTCATGAGACCTTAGGAAAGTCATCAAACCTCTCAGTGTCCCTGACAATTGTCCCAAATTTAGGAGTCATAGAGAAGGTGTAGAATTATATTTGTAAAGGGAGTTTTCCTCCCCAGGTGATCCCTGCAAGCCAGGTGGTGCAGTAAATAGGATGCTGGGCCTTGAGTCAAGAAGACCTGAGTTCAAATCTAACCTCAGAAACTTATGGACCCTGTGACCCATGTCAGTTTCTTCAACTTAGCACAGTGATTAGCATATAGTAGGTTTAATAATAAAAGTTTATTCCCTTCCCTACACTGATGAAATCATTGATCTAGACAAATGTATGTGTATGTGTAAATATGCATGTAAAATTCCTTTATTCTCTTTTATCGATTAATATTTAGGAATTATATGTAGAATATTTAGGAGTTATATTAATATGTATATATATATAATTCAATGAACTTTTGGGAGATACACACATATGTGCAGATGATATGATAAATCTTATGATACTGTTGTGATAAATACATATTGTGTATATGTGTATAGTTATACATATATATTAGAAAGAAGCCTTGTGGGCAAGAACAAATTCATTGTTTGGGGGAAGGGGATGTGTATGTGTATAGTTATTTGGTGATTAATCAAAATCTTGAGCATTTGTAAGTTTTATAACTGTCAAAAAATCTTGAGTCCTACCTGTTATAGATTTAAATGAAACTGCTTGGTTTATTAATATATTTGTCCTACATAGTAAATTTCTGTCAATATCAAAGAAGTCTTACAGCATTATTGAAGAGAGGTTGCTTTTTTTAAGTAAAAAAAGAAGAAATGATTATATTTAGTAGCCCTATTAACCTCCCCCACTCCCCCAAAATGCACAAACATCTACTTACTATTATTTCCCAGAATGTCTTTTAACCTTGTATTATCTATCTAAAAATTATTTAATGAACACTTCATGCTTTTCAAATGGAAGAGCATGGCTTTCTATAGCCTAAATGAGTTCTTAGAAGCATAAACAGGACTTGCTTCTCTCACTGAAGCATAAATAGCACTTGTCTCTCACACTGAAGCATAATATGAAAAGTACTTAAAAAGAACTGAGTCTGACTTCCCAGCTTGAAGGTCATAAATCAAGCTTGTACAAACCTATGTGAAACAAGTTCCAAATGGGGACCATGTTTGCCAGGTACTGGGCAGAAGCCTAATTGAATTCATGATCAAGGGAAGAGATGGTGGATACAAGGTGGTACAAGGTGGGTATGGTTGTAGACTTGGGATCCTGAAGACTTGAGTTCATCTGACTCTTTGTGACCCCCATTTAGGGTTCTCTTGGTAAAGATACATTTCCTTTGCTGGTTCATTTTACACACGAGGAAACTAAGGCAAACAGGGTTAAGTGACTTGCTCAGGGTCTCACAGCTAGTAAGTGTCTGAGGCTAGATTTGAACTCATGAAAAGGAATCTTCCTAACACCAAGCCCAGAGCTCTATCTGCTGTACCACCTAGCTGTCCCAGACACTTGCTAGCTGTGTGACTTAGTCTCTCTTAACCTCAGTTCCTTCATCTGTAAAATGGGGATAATAATGCCTACCTCCCAGAATTATTGCAAGGATCAAATGAAAATAATCATGTAAAGCATTTTACAAACCTTAAAGCGCTATGTAAATGTTAGTTATCATCATCATCATCTTGACATCATCTACATGAATTTGTCAAACATGAGGTCTGACTTCACACTCCTTGCATGAGTTTTATGTATATGGAACTCTTGCTGATTTCAGAGAAAATTCTATGCATGTAAGAAATTGCCTGCAGTAATACAGAAGCAGATATATATTTCATTATTGCTAAAAATCAATTGCTATCTTAGTTCTTATATTTTGTCATCCACACACTAACTCTTGCTACAGTGATACATAGTCTAAACAAGAAACTAGCCTTACACTTATGTTTTTTAAGTGTTTAAAAGAGTGAATAAATATACTTTTTCTGTTAACTATTCAAGAAAATGAATGTAAAGTAAACCTGTTGGTAAAACTGATAACAAGAAAGTAAATAAGTCTCAGTTATTGTGAAAATCCAAATATATTATTGTAAAGAGAAAACAGTGAACATGTTTATCCTTGTATCAAAGTGATTTTGATATTTATATGTCTTACAAGGTATTGTGGCTAATACAAGTAAATTTCTAATATCTCAGCATTTCCTTTTCTCAACTATTCTATCAAACTTTTTCCTTCAGCTAGTGTAGTAAATTTTACAGGAAAAGTTTATATATTAGGGAATTGGGGGGGAGGGAGCTAGAGGAAACAACCGTAAGTTATGAGTCATGGAAATTTTGCAGAAGCTTCAAGGCATAGTAGGTATCACATCAGTCATGAAAGAAGACCTTTTTTAAATCCCATCTCAGACATGTCTTGCTATATGACTCAGGGCAAGTTATTTAAGCTCCCTGAGCTTCAATTTCCTTATCTATAAAATGGGGATAATAACAGCATATGTCTCACAGAGTTGTTGTGAGGGCCAAATGAGATAGGGTATGTGAGGCATTTTGCAAACCTTAAAGTGATATGTAAATGTTAGCTTTTTATTATCATTATCAAATAAATGGGTGTCATAAGGTTACATCAACTATACATAATGTTAGATATTCTACAAATGGAAATCTTCTTGTTTCGATTCTGAACTGACGATTTTTTTTACTCTATTGTTTATAAATGTGTTTCTTGAGATAAAAGTAAAATTTAGATATGTTTAAAAATGGTCTACGTTTTAATTTTCTCAGTCTACAAACTGATGGGGAATGGATTCAGATTCAGCTGTTTCCCTTTGCTAACTGATGTCCTCATTCCTTCATTGTCACTGACCCCTTAAGACTGAGAAGATGGACAGAATCCTAGCTGGGGATGTGGACTCCCCAAGCCCATAGGCCCTTGACCCCACTAAAAGATGTCCCACTGACTCAGAATGACTTCTTAATGTACAAGGACTAGGGAATAGATCACTCATTTATTTTAATTATTATTGGAAGTATAAAGATCTGATGTAAGTGTATAGAACCCAGAAATCTGAAAACAGAAGCTTTTCCCCCTGTAATTTCCACCATACTCCTACCCACCCCACCCCACCTCCAGCAACAAAGGAGTAAGATCCTTGAGGTAATAATATTTTTTCCTTGCTATGAGTTATAGTTCTTCCCACAGTTAACATTTTCATAGGATTCTCTCAATCAGATACTGTGCATATCACAGAAACAGAAAAGGAAGTTGTCTTAGTCAAATGTAATCTCTTTAAGAATCAGGCATGGCTGGCCTCTGGGAAAATTATGAAGCTGTCAAAGTTTATTTTTGTCACCAGTATAATAATTCTCATTCTCTCTCTCTCTCTCTCTCTCTCTCTCTCTCTCTCTCTCTCTCTCTCTCTTTCTCTCTTTCTCTCTCTCTCTCTATCCCCTTTATCAAAAGTACTTCCAGGGAAAGGATCCTGTACCAGATCTTTTTATCTAATTGTAAATTGACTCAATATGTTACCTCTCCTGGGAATATTTGTTTTTAATCCCTATTTCTAATTATAGAACAAAGGACTTCATTCCAAATGGATCTTCAGGTCCCAGCAAGGTACCTAGGGAAGGGGAAGGTGGACTGTTTCTTTTGAGTACCCCTGAAATCATTCAGCCTGTGTTGCCTGGCATTGGAAATAGACACATAGTTGAAACTCAAAATAGAAATGAGTCCAGTACTGAATAAAAGTCCACCTCATTTTCAGGGTCAGACTAACCACTCAGGAAGCCAGCCAGATTCTCATGCTGCTAATCCATTGGGGTAGTTTCCAAAGCAGCTAGACTACAGGAGCCCAATAACAACTCAATCCAATCAATCAAGAAGCATTTATTAGGTATCTGAGCTCTACCAGGCAAATTGCTGGAATGTCAAGAGATAGGAAATGCTCTCTACCCTTAAGGAGTTTACATTTTATGAGAGAGACAATTTGATCACATGTAGACATGTACAAAACATAAATGAAATAAATGTAGTGTAGGCTCTAATAGGGGAAGCTAGGTGGTACAGTAAATAGAGTGCCAGATTGGAGTCAGAAAGACTCATCTTTGTGAGTTCAAATCTGGACTCAGATACTTATTAGTTATATGACCCTGGGCAAGTTATTCAACCCTGTTTACCTCAGTTTCTCATCTGTAAAACGAACTGGAGAAGGAAATGGCAAACCACTCCAGTATCTTTGCCAAGAATACCCCAAATGGGGTCACGAAGAGTCAGACATGACTGAAAAATAACTCAACAGCAACAGCAACAGTCTGGTGTAGAGGAAAGAACTCTGAATTTGGCTTGTGTCAGCTCTCAGCTGTTACGTAAAACCTGTTTGACTCTCAGCTCAGTCACCTGGCACTTCCTTATTCTTCCTCTTAAAAGGTGAAGTCTACAGCCTAGCTTAAGAAGATAGTCTGGGGTAGAGGAAAGAACACTGAGCTTGACTTTGGTTCAAATCTCATAACCTATATACCTTGGATAAGTCACTTTCCTCTTGGCCTCAAGCTCTTCATTGATTAAATGATTTAGACTTGATGATCTCCAAACTTTCTTCTAGTACTAACAGTGAGATTTCCACTTTGGCTGCCATAACTAGAAATAGCTCTTGCCTTGGTCTCCATCCCCTCCATGTTAATTATTTTAATTACCCTCCACCTCTATGGTTTACACACTTTCTTCACCTATTAAATGGAGGAGTTAGACTACAAGGTGTTTAAGGTCCCTTCCATGAATAGGAGGTTACATGGCAACAGGCAATCAGTTGGGAGTCAGAAGAGCTGAGCTAGAATGTCTGCTGTGCTAATTGCTGTTTTTGTGATTATGAACAAATTACTTAACCAAGAGTGTGCTGGTAAATGTTTAACAATCAGTTTTCGACGGAGGGTGGGGGGAGAATGTATGTGTGACACGCTTTTAAGTTTAATATGCATTATTAACATTTTCTCCATCACTTTCTTAACTCTAAACGATCAACAAAATAGTAACTCTAGCCCTGATTTGTATCATTTGCCAATTTCAGGGTGTAAATCCTCACACCGAAAATTGAACAATTGACTTTTCAAGTTCAAGCTGGCTCTAGCATACCCTTTCATTTAATCCATCTAGTCTCAGTTTCTTCATCTCTAAGATCCCTTCTGTGGAAGAAAAACAATCTTCTGTTTTATGTGCTTTAGCTAAAATCTGTCAGAGATGCATTTTTATTCATATATAAAAAAAAAAGTT